CCCAGTTGGCGGCTTTACGGCGACGGCGCAGGAAAGGCGCGGCAAAAAGCGCGCGCCGCCGATTGGTCGACATTAGCGGCGCCTGCCGGAAGGTGGCGGTGGTTTGAGACAATGCAGTCGTGGAGGGGGTCCAAAAAAGGGTAGCCTTCAGGCGGATAACCCGACAGGCGCCCCTGCATACGGGCCTGGCAGTTGGTTTGCATAGTGCTGGGCGCAATTAAAAGTGAAGTTTTTGCTCACAAAAAAAAACTAAAGTCGTATTAGTATTTTGTCGCCTACCTAAATGATATTGAATTATTGAGAACAGCTTCAGCATCTCACGGAGCTACCTGAGCTAAGGAATCTTAGCCGTACAGCAATGTATTTCCACTGTGCACAAGCCCAGACCAAAGCACGCTAAACTAGTGCCAAATTCATTTACCCAGTTAACACATGTCTGCTCTATTACGTTTCTTGGATACAAGATCCCATTCATCGTGACAGCACGCCGCGTTAGATTGATGAATCCTTCCGTTACGAACCCCAATACTGGAGCTCGAGACCAGTCGCCAGATGGTCGACAGTTGTCTCTGGGCCGGAAATCAGAGATCCCTGCTCTCTCACCATGAAACTGGGAGGGCGTTGTGATAGGGTGACTGGGGCGGGTGTGCTTGGCGATACGGGTAGGGCGACACAGCACGTGTGACTGGCTGACACGTGTGACGACCCACACGTGCTGCCGAGACAGCAGAAGGCTGCTCAGAACCGACGGAAATGGGGTGAATGCTGGCTTTGATTCTTTATGGGACCCCACGTGGATCACAGACGGAAGAAGTGAACACATTAATTATTGCTCACCTTCATCCTAATCCTGAAGCTTGTTTTTCTCTAGTGTGAAATGAAACATAGTAGTTACTTTGCATTGTTCGCTATATCGCTAATATTTTTTGCTGATTCGGAGGGCTCTTTATTTCGAGGGTCATTATTGCTCTACATTAAACCAATGATAAGATGAATGCCTGCACAACGTGCAGCTCATTCTACCTGCATCAAACAATGTTCCTATTCCGGATCGTCATCATACTAAGCCTTTTTATGGCGAGACTTCAGCGGCGCCCATAATGGCCTAGGCCTCTGCTGACCTGGTCCGCTGCTGGCCACGTCCTCTACTGGCCGAGCACGACGGCGTATGATTGGCCCTGGATATCAGACGACCGCTGTGATAATCACTTCCCGTCTACTCTGCGACCGCCCCACCCAGTGAGGGGCCGCCTCCGCCCTCTGTGCCGAGAGAGAGAGAGAGAGAGAGAGAGAGAGAGAGAGAGAGAGAGAGAGAGAGAGAGAGAGAGAGAGAGAGAGCCGCAGAGGTAGAGAGGAAGATGATGGATGACACGGCCAGTACGGGGCGGATAAATATCCCGCTGCTCTCCGGTCCCGCAGAGATATCGCTGCTGAGATCCATTCATCATCGTATCGCCGGCTGTATCGGTCTTATTTTAGGCTGATGTGCGCACCGGGCTGCTGCTTCTGTGGAGGAAGCCGGTGCGCTCAGTATCGCCGAGTCTTTCTCCTGTCTGATGGAAAAGCACAGACCACGTCTCAGCTCAGCCGGCACGCCCTACGCTTGATCATCGCCCTGGCCTAGTCTCTTGCTCGACAACCACCCCAACTCCGTGTCAAGCCACCGTTACCGACTACCTCATCTCTCGGTCCGATTTATGGCTCAGAGTCGACGCATCAGTCATCATCAGCGCCGTTCGTCGGTGCCGACGGTAGCCGTTCGTCGGTGCCGACGGTAACGGCAGAGTCGTTATCGACGCGCAGGTGCGCCCGTCTCACGGCGTCGGCCGACGGCCCCGGAGTCGACGGCTAGAGATGATACAAATGGTGAAGTGGCATGCCAAGTCGGCCGAGTTAATGGGAGCAAATTGACGTGATGAATTCAACGGCAACGATGCACATGAAAATAGCTTTCAAGAAATGCTGGCCTCTCAACGAAATGTTGGCTTCTCAACGAATGGGGTGTAATGTCCCGGACTCCCGATCATATGAATGGTTGAGTTTGCTCATTTGTATCATGGTGTAGCATCAAGTAAAATACATGTTTATCAAGTACATGTAGCGCACACGTTTTCTTGGCCACTCACAGGTCGTCATAAGACCTTTGCTAGCTCGGAAATCAAGCGTGATACGTTTATGTGATGAAAGGCAGTCTTCCAATAGATGCCAAGCGGTACAGCATACCAAGTCAGGCGGCTTGAAGATGATCAGCGCAATTGCCTTATAATTGTTACTTTTATGTGTTACCCTGCAGTCTCCGATAGCTCGTAGTGTTGTGCGGTGCAGTATACCAACTACCAGAAGCTACCTTGGGCAATGGATGGCATTGGCACCAAATGGTGGTCGTTTTTCACGATGTTTGTGCTATCCTTTACATTTTCTTGCATTCAATTACGAACAGGTAGCTGTGGTTCTTTTGGTATTCCTACTGCCCTTTGGCCCACAATTGAATTATGACAGCCAAGCCCGTCTCCACTCGCATAGGCGGCGGAACGGGGAGGGCACCGGGGCACCGTGCCCCCCTTTGATTTAGGCATTTTAACATTAGCCCTATGGGCGTTGTATGGAAAGAATGGGACCAAAAGTCGGCAGTGTCCCCCTTAATTGAAGGTGTTCCGCCGCTACTGTCCACTCGTCGCAAATCGAGTCAGTCAGATCCTAGTCGATGAATTAACGGGGCACAAAAACACGAGCGCTGCAGAAACAAAGAGTTCGTCTTTTCCCTCAATGGTGTTGGTCATTTCAGTTAGATGAGGTCCTTTTGTACCACACAGACTCGCACGGTAAAAACAAATTTGTATCGTCGTGACCTCTCAGTTCGCAGCTAAAAAAATCGGTGTCACACGTCATCCTCTCCCAGAAAGCAGGACAGGATATAAAGCACATGACACACAGTGGATTACGCCGTTGGCATTTCAAGTTTCGTCACGCTGACCCCGACTGTCAGATTGGGGCGGCGTGACGTCGGTCCGACGCCGTGGGTCGTGTCACGGACAGGATATGGCGGCAGGTGACGAGCCAGTCACTGTCAACGAGTACTTTACCTCCGGTCCGGGTCAGGTGAAAACAACAACAGCCGTGAAACACGTGGCTGGGACACACTTCAAGCGCTGAAATGTAAAACGGAAAGTTATTTAGATAATTTAATTATCCATTTGATATGCAACCATTTGCTATTGGCTATGTTCGGTCATTGTCTTTAACTTTAATTGATTTTTGCATCCTATCTTGCTCTTTTATAAAGATGAACCAAGCACATTGGGGCTACCCCCCCCCCCCCCCCCCAACCGGCATCCACGAATACAGAAACTTGTGCGGAAGCGCCAGGAAGCCTTAGCGGCGCCGACCGACCCGGGAGCCGTCAATTGAAATTCAGACCGGGAATTGGATAAATTCACGTCCGCTTGTTTGGCTTCAAATCAATCGACCCATAGGTTACGGGCCATCTCATTAAATGCGGTGCCGGCGATGGACTGAATTTATGATGGCCTCCTGCGGTGAAGGTCGACCTGCAGGAGCTGACATCGAGGAGCAGAGGTGATGTTTGGCAGCGGCTGAGGACAGAATATAGTCCTCTGAGAGAACAAGATGAGATCGGTGTCCTCATAGGGTAGAGTGGCTGTATGACTACCTATAGACTGTAGTTCTTTGACGCAGCACAACGCACTTCATATTTTTTATTCACCACCGAGTTCTAACATTATCGCAGAACACTAAAAGCCATTGCCCATGGTCATCACTGCTGTGAGGTCCTTGCTTATTCGCATTTTATAGTGTTCATATATTGAAGACTTGTGGATGATCACTTGAAATAATCGAAAACAGTTTGAAATAATCGACACAGCTCAAAAGAGTCGCAGTTGTGTTGCCACATGTCCCTCGGACTCAGGTGCTGGCATAGGGGGGGGGGGACAGAAGGGTAGGGATATGACAGGTGACATTTCGTCAGTCACCAATGGCAAATAAAGGTTAGACTTCGCCGATCCATCGACACCAAATATCGCCGGTATTGTGACGAAATTAGCTACCTACGTCACTGGGTACCACTGACCAAGGCTCCACCTCAGCGGGCTGACCATGGCGCCACTCAAAGTGCATCGCCGTAGCCGAAATCGGGCAACCGCGCCGCGTTAATCACATTTTTGCAATGATGATAGCGTGCAGACATGCCCTAAGTGCCGCAATTACAACCAAATTCATTCGCTGTTATTGGGTAGCCAAATATTATCCTGTGTGTATGGCATGGGTATGTGGTTTTTAATCGGCATTCAGTGGGTAATCAAGTACTATAAATGTGCAGTACAAACTGGGCTGGAATGTGCGGAGCGATTACACAGCCGTGGCGAGCCTGGGCCATTTCATTGTCATTATTGCTGGTTCCATATTATGTGCGCATCGTGCAAGATTACATTTGGTTGCGTGGTATGGGTCGTTATGTTAGCGCTGTAGATGCGTATTATATCAATTTCAAAGGCATTCATATTATATTTTCGGCGTAGAGTAGTAAGTGTCGTAATGCCTGAAACATTTAGTTTTATTCATAACACGTGAAAATGTATCTATTGTAGAGCAATGTCTATTGTCTACAGTCGTAGCATCCAGCGTATAGCTTTTGCAACTGATGTTTAACGAGGACTCAACTAAATGGTTTTGTAAACGGTATTTTTATCTTTGTTAAAATACCACCGGGTACCACTCTGTCATAAATAACGTTACTGATAATAATTTTACTGTATAAGTCTTGGTCCCAGGCTAGCTGTATTTTCCCTGATCAGAACCAGCGATTGCGATTTATGCGTCTCGATGACAAATGGAATGGCTGAGCCATTTCGTAACGCAGCCCCGCCAGCGCTACAAGAGAGATCACGAAATCCATTTCACGCACTCACTAATCCATCAGGATGGCCCACTTGGATTGTGTTTGGCAGCACTTTTTTGATAGTGATATTCTTGCGTTTCAGTTGTACGAGATCGACGAAAACCCCAAGCGCAAGGAGTTTCTGGACGAGTTGTTCCGGTTCATGCAGGAAAGAGGTGAGTTTCATGTTGAGGCTAGCTCTGGATTTATTTTTTTGTACTGTAAGTGATAAGGCATCGAACGAAGTGGCTAAATGCACAGACGACTCTGAAGTAGACTCGTATTATCCGCTCCGCGGGCCGTGAGTCGACTCACGGCCCGAATCACCATTCCGTTCCGATATCGTTACACGTGACCACCCGCCGATCAGAGCCCGTCGCTGTTTGGTAACACACCGACCATCACGTGATCGGTCACGTGAGGTGTCGGTCGGACGGCCGGCGCGCTGCGAGTCGGCGGGCGGCCGGTGCCCACCACCGCGCCGATTTATGATAATTCCCGATCGTCCGTGGGAAGGCAGCTCCAATCACTCAGTGTGAACTCGAACGTAAGACATGCTGAGCGATCAGCCAGGGATCGGCTGGTGGTCAGTCGACCGGGACTGGAAAGTAGGCGGTATAGAGTGGCAAGAGATATTACATTTAGCGCTGAGTTTATCAGAGACATGTCCGAACGACACCCGTAGGTGTGTTGTTAATTGATCTAATATCTTTACGTTTATGATATCAATTGTTTGTGTGATACGAAACATGCGAGTAGGAGTTGAACGCTGCTTTTGAATAATAGTTCAACTTCAGAATACTGTGCAGTGAAAATAATTGAGGGACTCTGCGCCAGGCGAATAATCATGTGACTTTTTGTCGCACTTGAAAGTTTATTAGGAGTATCAATACTAATGGCGCTGAAAGCTAGACTAGGTTTCATTTAATTCTGCACGGGCGTCCAGAAGTTTGTTCCAAACTCAGCAAGTGTTTTTGTGCCGGGCTCGGAACTCGTCTTGACAAACAAATGGTCCGTTTTTGCTGTCCGGTGGTGGAAAACACAAGTAGCCTTGGCAGGACAGGACAGCGAATTAGATAAAGTGTCGCGCAAAAACAGGCACAGCGTGGTGCTTGATATGATATACTGCACAGGCACAAATCGAGGCGTTAACAGGACATGGAGCCTGAGTGTCTACTGAATCAACTGACGGTGACATTGATTGCTTTAACCATCTCACAATGAGTCTTCTGAGTGCTGATGAATCAGGACGTTTATAAGCTCCTTGACTGTTAGTTTGTCTGATAGTGCTATCGATTAATTTTCAGCGTTTCCTTTTCTACGATTTCATTCCAGGCTTTATGCATCTTTTAATTTCAATTGAAAGACTGTGATAGTTGTTCCCTTATTTACACTAGGTATATTTAAAAACTCATACATTCCCATCAGCATCATCCTTTCTCAAGAGAAAGGTGAGCATAAGTATGCTACAGACAAGCCTTACGTGAATGAAATAACCGTCAACTATAAAGGATCATATCAGAGACCAATAAAGCACGAATTCGCTGAGCGGCCGGCACCGGCCATAAACCCACACTGGAGACATGCAAAAAGTGGCGATAAATCAATGGGCTCCTGCCCGCGTTGTCGGACGATAACTTGTGTCTCCAACTGGGACGGGCCGGGCTCCCCACGGCACGGGTGACGTCGGCTCGCCGGCACGGGAGAGTCGCATACCGGGCCGGCTGGAGGAGGCGCGGCCGGGCCCTCCCATCACCGGCTGAGCGGCCTTTGTCTCCCCAGAGCGCCCGTTGTCTCATTCGTGCGTCCGGCGTGTCTCCTCCGTGCCTCGGCTCATCCTCTTTGTGCTTCACCAATAGAGGAAGGCAATCAGTCTCCCTCGTTGAACATCTTCCCCTGAATCTATCAGTTTCCACAATAACAGTCAAACCCGTAAGCTTGCGTCATCGATACATCGCATGTTGGTCATCCCTTGTTCGTATAATTCCTTGATCTACTTGTTTGTTTAGTTGATGTTTTCCCTGCCTCGACGGCCTGACTTTGCCATAAGCATTCCCCTGCATGCTACCTTTTCTCCTGCCTTACCAGTGTAACCAGTTACCAGCGATCGATTCATCACATGATCTAGCATTATCCGCAACCGAACTGTCCCATTATCCACTTTTTGTCTGTTCTGTTATTTGTATTTCATCATGCACTGCTACCACTTTATCCGCATCCAGTCTGCCCTGTCATACACATCCCGTCTATACACATATGCATTCTATCATCCATACCCCGGCCTGTTCTGTTACCCGTATTCTGTCCTGCCCTGTTATCCTATCCGTACCCAGCCCTGTCCTGTTATCCACCCATTCGGGTCTGTCCTGTGACTAATTCGCTCAGTTGCGGTGGAATTCGGCAGGTCCACCGGGCCCATTGTCACCGCCGGTGGCCACTGCGCCGGACCCCTGGAATTGGGTATCCCTCGCCTGTTGGGGACGATCAATCAGCCTCTGCGACGCCCCGCCCAGTAAAGCTGTCTACATAAAACGATACGAAATTACCGGGTCGACCGTCGGCGCCGCGCCGACGCATTTCTCCCGTGTCAAACGCTCGGCGGACGCTCCACGTGTAATTTCCCGGCGTCGGTCCGACCAGGGACATTATGGGTTTACGAGAGGCACCCCCGAATGGCCCGGATGGACATTATCTCAGCGGGTTTTATGTGATTGGATGCTACAATTTTATGCCAGAGTCGAAAAGAGCCAAGGCCAGTGAGGCAGTGCTTCTTCTGGGCAGGGACATAGCGCGTGCACATGAAACGGCGAGGGCGGAGTCGGCTGGCGGGGGATAAATAACGAGCGCCGCTTTGTAGAAATTCACTTTGTAATCTAGTATACCGAATGTATGCTATTCTTTCTCGGAATATTGCGCCTCAGGAGTGCGATGGAAACAGAAAGGTTTAACACAGTGACTCATTTAGTGTCAACAAATGTTTCATTCTTGTGGAAGCCATGAAACTGCTGAACCGACAGTAAATTTTCATGAGCTGCCCAATCCAAAATATCCTCATATGGCCGTCGATTTTCCAAATTTAATCAGCCAGCTGCACATCTGCTCGGCTGACGTCCGTCCCGTATCATGTTACGACACCCGGCTACTGTCCAGCTCGCGTCGGTTCCGACAGCTGTTTCGTCGAGGCCGACGACCCCCTCTCTCACCCCTCACTCCCGTCTCCAGTTGGCCGGGTGATGGGCGCCGTGATGCGCCCCATTCCATTCCACCTCACAGAGACTGCGGTCGACTCCTGTGCTGTCACTCAGTTCACCTCATCCCGGGCAGCCACCTGCCGCGACCGATGCTGACGTCACTTCCGGTGGCGGGTCACTGACCCCGGGTGTCGGCAGGGGTGACGAGGGGAGAGTGTTTATGTCGGCACGTGTGTCTGTCGGGAGCGACGCGTCGACGCTCGCTCGCCGGGCGACAGCTGAGGGATCAGGGTAGTTAGCGGATCTTCAGCTGCTAAGACTCGCGCCTGAACGCACGCCTATCTCGGAAGGAGAAAAAATTTACTGCAAATGAAGCCAAGCCTGATTATGTATTTGATTCCGATTTTCAAACTAAAAATAATGAAGGTAATATCACAAAGCTATGCAGAACGGTAAAAGTAGACAGTAGTCATGTTAAACGATTATTTAGCAATGGCATACCCAGTATCCACTGAAATGCGCGTTTTAGACGGGTTGAGCTCAACATTTCGATTGCCTTTTGAGGTCCCTGCTCTGTCGCCTGTGGTTTGTCCTTCACCCTTCCCACGGGGAGCATTCCTGCATTCTGACCCGAATTCCGTGGGCGGCTTCATACCAACCATCGTGGGGCGGCCCGCTGGGAGGGTCCACCAGCCCCGTATCGCCCCATCTGATTATATCAGGGTCCCACCGAGGTCAGAAACTCGCCCGGATTCGCTGTGGACCCCAAGCAGCTGGGTGCTACTGACACTGAGCGCTCCGTCAATACGAGACAGATTCGCAATTCTCGGGAACTGGAATTGATGTAATCTTCTTGCTAAGCTCGTTCGCCAGACAGTCGAAACGTCTGTCATGAGTTCAGCACCAGATTCGGACTGTTATCAAGGAAGCCATATAGCCGCTGCGGAGTCCCTCGAACCCTGGCGGTCTGTCGATTGGCCTTGACCGCGTGACAATGAATCAATTAATTTGTGGTGTTTGAATGCATGCGTACAATGTGGTGCAGTCTTATCTTGTGAATAAAACATGCGTTTTTCTTCTTTTCGCAGGGACTCCGATCAATCGCCTGCCAATCATGGCCAAGCAAGTTCTGGATATGTATGAGCTCTACAACCTCGTGGTGGCACGCGGCGGCTTGGTAGAAGTCATCAACAAGAAACTGTGGCAGGAGATCATCAAGGGCCTGAAGTTGCCCTCCTCCATCACATCAGCTGCATTCACTCTCAGAACACAGTGAGTGCTCGGTGGTCAGTCATCGGAACCAATCACTTTCGATATCAAGCTCCACTCACTTTCAAACTCTGTTCGAAGGCCCGCGCCTGCCGGCCCTGTGTTCCGCGCAGACGCCCCAAACGTTCACGGAAGGCGTAAGAGCTCATTCAACTTCGGAGAACACGCCCAGGCTCCGTCTCAGCGTTCACGAATCACGATTGCAGGCCGCCACGGGTAGACATCCTTTGTTGCTAGCCCGGAAGTAGCGCCGACGTCCGCCAGGGCTGAGCTTCGAGCTCCCATTCCCCAGCTCTCAGCTCCTGGATCCCAAATCTCAACCGCCGTCTCCCAGCTCCCCACAAAGGCCCCACCACAGTCGCGGCCGGGCTGCTCTCATTTGGCCGTAATGGCATGCAGGAAGCCGGGCCGAATCTGGGCGCGATCCGACCTCTTACTGCCGACTGCCGGCGGTGGCCGCCGTCTTCCCATGACCGGCCGGCCCGCAATAAACCGTATCACTTGTTGAAAGCGGTCGCCATTCCGGCACCAGCGGAATTACATAAATTATTGCCGGTTTATACGCGCCATAAGCGGTTTGGTGTTGGCCCCAGCTCGGACGATTCCTGGATTTAATATCAATAAAACATGACGGTGAATGAGTGCGCCGCACGCCAGACACTCATAACCGTCGATATAAAGGCACGAACTGCGGCGGCCGCTCCCACCCTCTCTCTCGCCCTCTTTCCGGCCCTGGCTCTCTCCCTCTCCCTATCTACGGGCGAGCGCAAATGTCGGCCCTGTGCACGGGGCCATTTTTGGCGAGCGTTTTGGCGATGGATGATCAATTGGGGCACTCCAATCAATAATTTGAATCGATAATTGGCCAGAAGACTAACAAAAATAGCAACAAAAGCACACATTGCAAGGTTGGCGAAAATTTGGGAATGCTCATTGCTTGGTCTAGTTCGAATCGGGAAAATTATAGTGCCACTCATCAAGCAATTATTATTTTGAGGAAAAAAAATGTATCGTAGCAAGTGCAAGCTAGGCATCGACGGGCCTTTCTACTGACTATGCATAAAAGTTGATAGATAAAGAATGATCGTAAGATGCATAATAACCAGTAAAACGCCTTTTGGGCGAAGAACGAGCGAGCGAGATAGTGAGCCCTGCACGTGCGGAAGGGCGAGAGGGTACTTCCAACGGGCTTGCGCAAAGCACCCTTCTAACCGGTCGGTGTGCCAAATTTGAACGCAATCGGCCCAGCCGTTCCTGAGATCTGGAAGCGGCACTCTGCACGTGCGCACGTGCAAACGGGGTCCAAACTGACTTTTGCACGGCACCCTGCTAACCGGTTCCCAACCGTGTACCAAATTTGAGCGCAATCGGCCCAGCCGTTCTCGAGATCTGGAAACGCCCCCTGCACGTGCGCACGTGCAGTAGCACCCTAACCGCAATACATGGGAATGCATTGCCTGGTGGGTGCCTACCTGCATGCCAAGTTTCAGCAAAATCGCCTCAGTAATTACCGAGTTATTAAAATGGGAACAAATTTGACACCTCTTATTGTATTCTGCACGTGCAATGGGGGTCACTCACATGCATCGAGAGTATCCTATTTTTGGTAGAAGGGATGCAGCTACCCTACAAAAATTACCGCAAGTCAATCACCCAAGCAGCTGCTGAGATATGAGCCTCTCAAAATCACTACTTTTGCAAAACAGCTTGAACACCCTTGACTTTTCACGTGGCACGTGCCACGACGTTCACTGAGGTGTATCAAAAGTAGTCAATTACGGGGTAGAAGGGATGGGGCTACCCAGCAAAAAAAAGACCGCAGGTCAATCGGTCCAGCGGTTGCTGAGATATAAGCCTCTCAAAAGCGTTACAGGCCGGGCCGGGCCGGGCCGGGCCGGGCCGCTCATACTGAGATTTTTCCGTTATATTGAAAAGACTCGCTTCGCTCGCTGCGCTCGCTCGCTCGTAATCACATATCAGCTGCACCCAAATGTATATCGACCACCTGTGTCTTCTCATCTCCAGGTACATGAAGTACCTGTACCCCCTGGAGTGTCAGAAGGAGGGTCTGAGCAGTCCTGCCGACCTCCAGGCGGCCATCGACGGCAACCGACGGGAGGGTCGACGGGGAGGCTACAGCGCCGCCTCTTACGCCGACTTCTCTCAGCGTGCTCCACTCCTCGCCAGGTAAGGCACTGGTTAGTCAGCGAAGGTATAGACACGGTAGCTTTTCTATTTAACATTTTGACGTCAATATTCAATAATGTTTGCTTGACTTGGCATAGCTTCGTCTTTTCGAGTAGGTATTACAGGCCTTTCTTCGCTTTGCAAATGTGTCTTTACTGCCTGAAGTCCGAGCAACAAGTGTGTTATTTTTTTCATTTCAGTCCCATGGCTCCGTCGTTCGGTCTCGGTAACGGGATGCCGATGCCGACATCGCTGCACCAGCAGGGTCTGTCTCCGCTGTCACTGGTCACCAGTCGGCCGGCCGCGCCCGGATCCAACGGACCCGCCGGACACCCCATGCCGCCCAGTGAGTATCCGGGATCCAGGGGACCCGCCGGACACCCCATGCCGCCCAGTGAGTATCCAGGATCCAAACGGACCCGCCGGACACCCCATGTCAACCATTCAGAACCGGACTTTTCCCGTGCTTTTGTGTAATAATAACCCTCCTTATGACAGCGGAGAGGTCATCCTGGCATTCATTTTCCAGCGCTGTGGGGCGCTTATTTACCGGCGTGGTGGGACATTTATTTATCGGTGTCAGCAAAGGCCTGACATATCCGGTGGTTAAAAAATAATCAAGACAGATTCGAAGGGTAGTCAAAACCGTCAAAACCCCTTAGGAATGAGACCCACCGGACAAGACATCGTTAAAACGCACGATGATCGATTGCCGAAAGTAGTGTTATTTATTTTCGTTGATTGGGCCGGGGTTCGGGCCTGTTTAAAGCTCATTAGTGGCCGTTTTCAGTAGTTTCGCCCGATTTACATAACCGCACAGCGTGTCATTATCACCGCTACGGCCGCCCAGGCCGTAAGCAAATAGCACCACTGGGTCCACAGATTCCCCTCATGTCCGGCTTTCGCGTTTGACGCGAGCACTAGTCAGCGAGTTTGCCGCGCTGCGTTTCTGCTGGGCTATACGCGTTGAACTTGGCATGTCTGGCAGGCGCCGCTATTGCGCCAGGTATATATCGATACCATACCGAGGCCGCGATGACATGCACACGCACCGACCAGTTGGCGACATGTTGACCCTGTTAATGTCATCTAGACCGCCTTGCCGACGCCGGGTCTAAGCCAACAGAAATGTGACGCCCACACCACGTGGTCAGAGTATAACCGGATCCAGTCATTCCAGCCGGTGGTCCAACCTACATACACTAACCGTCGCGTTCACTGCCTTGCTGGGGGAGAGCCGGCGCCGGCCGAGACGAGACGAGACGAGTCGGCCGTTTGGGGTGACGTCCTTGAGGCTCGCTTTGGCGGAGCTTAATGACGTCCCATTGGCGACCGAACTGGTCTGATGACCTGGGCATTCCAGCCCAATCAGGAGCCGGACGGCAGGGGGAGGGGGGGGTCCAACTGACCCCTTCCCCACACGCTAGACGCAACAGAACGCCGCACACGGACGAGTGATATGATAGGTGTACGGATCAGGCTCATTCGAAAGCCCGACCCATCAGTATCACAAGCGGCGGCCGCCGCCGCGACGGGACAGTGACGACCTGCAGTTGTGCAGTTACATTCCGACTTAGCGTTGGAAACGGTCTAACATGAGCCTTCTTGCTGATACGTGCCCTGTGGAAAGACCGCAGTCGACACAGCCAGCCGGGAACCACCGCGGCACGTCAGCGTGACACTCACCATATCAATCCGCCTAGCGCTCAAAGCCAGCCGAAATCGGGGCGCCCGGGGCACCCGGCTAGCCGACATACAATGCATCTCTGCACGGCTGCGTGACACTGACTGGGACGGTCTATTCTGCGCACACACCCAGTCTGGAATCCATCACTGCACCGCAGAGTGACACTGACTATTTCGATCTACCCGATGCACATGTCCAGCCAAGTGTATCTCCCTCCCCCCCCCCCCCACCCCCACCCTCCGTTATGACCGGCCCCTCCCCAGAACCCAGCCGCCGCTGGAGACCGCTCCCAACGTCCCATCTCCCCTCCCTGGGCCTCGGCACGGCCGACCTGTTTGTCTTAGCGCGCAGCTGCGTGCCCTCAAACTCTCCCTCTCTGCTCTCCCACCCTCCGCTATCGTCCCGACCGGTCGTAAGCTCCAATATTTGCTCAGCCGCGACAACACCTCGCTGACGGCGCCTCGTCTTTATCACCTCGGCGTATGCCGTCTAGTGGTGTTAGTTGCAGAAAATGTATGTCCAATGTCCGTCCAATTCCAATGCTTACGCCGATTTCCGTCCAAAATGTTTAAGCTAGCCATTTGTCCAAAGATGTCCGAAACCTACGCAATAGTTTACACTTAACACTGTTATCTTTTTTTATGTATTTTTAGCAGCTTTAATGTGTTAATCATCTCAAAGGCTGATCTTTCTATTCGCCAATCAGTGTTAACCACGATTGCTTTATAGAAATGCTGAGGTGTAGCAATGATTGTCCAAAGTTGTCCAAACCTGCGTCATTGTCCAACCGAATTCCGGATTGGACATTGGACAAAATCGGAAATCCACAGATTCAAGCTACGATTGACACCACTAAATTGCCGTCTCACCCAATGCCGCCGCGCCCCGATGGAGGCCATTAGATACCCGCCCCTCTCCTATACGTGCCCGCCTGTTCTGGATCAGTTCGCACCATTACCTGCCGGGTAGAACTCGCGAGTTACGTCACGTGTCAGGTCATACCCGTCGTCGGGCCAGATATGGCTCGACGGGGACCACAGTTGCCAGGTCCTCCTGTGCACACGGCATGTACTGATCAGGTCTCACCCGTCGGCCGTGGCCATGACACGACGGGGACCACAGTTGCCAGGTCATCCTGTTCACACGGCATGTACGGATCAGGTCTCACCCGTCGGCCGTGGCCATGGCCCGACGGGGACCACAGAGTGCCAGGTCCTCCTGTGCACACGGCATATACGGATCAGGTCACACCCGTCGGCCGTGGCCATGACACGACGGGGACCACAGAGTGCCAGGTCCTCCTGTGCACACGGCATATACGGATCAGGTCACACCCGTCGGCCGTGGCCATGACACGACGGGGACCACAGTTGCCAGGTCATCCTGTTCACACGGCATGTACGGATCAGGTCACACCCGTCGGCCGTGGCCATGACCCGACGGGGACCACAGTTGCCAGGTCATCCTGTTCACACGGCATGTACGGATCAGGTCACACCCGTCGGCCGTGGCCATGACACGACGGGGACCACAGTTGCCAGGTCCTCCTGTGCACACGGCATATACGGATCAGGTCACACCCGTCGGCCGTGGCCATGGCACGACGGGGACCACAGTGGCCAGGTCATCCTGTTCACACGGCATGTACAGATCAGGTCACACCCGTCGGCCGTGGCCATGACACGACGGGGACCACAGTTGCCAGGTCATCCTGTTCACACGGCATGTACGGATCAGGTCACACCCGTCGGCCGTGGCCATGACACGACGGGGACCACAGTTGCCAGGTCATCCTGTTCACACGGCATATACGGATCAGGTCACACCCGTCGGCCGTGGCCATGACACGACGGGGACCACAGTTGCCAGGTCATCCTGTTCACACGGCATGTACGGATCAGGTCACGCCCGTCGGCCGTGGCCATGACACGACGGGGACCACAGTTGCCAGGTCATCCTGTGCACACGGCATATACGGATCAGGTCACACCCGTCGGCCGTGGCCATGACACGACGGGGACCACAGAGTGCCAGGTCCTCCTGTGCACACGGCATGTACGGATCAGGTCACACCCGTCTGCCGTGGCCATGACACGACGGGGACCACAGTTGCCCGGTCCTCCTGTGCTCACGGCATATACGGATCAGGTCACACCCGTCGGCCGTGGCCATGACACGACGGGGACCACAGTTGCCAGGTCATCCTGTTCACACGGCATGTACGGATCAGGTCACACCCGTCGGCCGTGGCCATGACACGACGGGGACCACAGTTGCCAGGTCATCCTGTTCACACGGCATGTACGGATCAGGTCACACCCGTCGGCCGTGGCCATGACACGACGGGGACCACAGTTGCCAGGTCATCCTGTTCACACGGCATGTACGGATCAGGTCACACCCGTCGGCCGTGGCCATGACACGACGGGGACCACAGTTGCCAGGTCATCCTGTTCACACGGCATATACGGATCAGGTCACACCCGTCGGCCGTGGCCATGACACGACGGGGACCACAGTTGCCAGGTCCTCCTGTGCACACGGCATATACGGATCAGGTCACACCCGTCGGCCGTGGCCATGACACGACGGGGACCACAGTTACCAGGTCATCCTGTTCACACGGCATGTACGGATCAGGTCGCACCCGTCGGCCGTGGCCATGACACGACGGGGACCACAGTTGCCAGGTCATCCTGTTCACACGGCATGTACGGATCAGGTCACACCCGTCGGCCGTGGCCATGACACGACGGGGACCACAGTTGCCAAGTCATCCTGTTCACACGGCATGTACGGATCAGGTCACACCCGTCGGCCGTGGCCATGACACGACGGGGACCACAGTTACCAGGTCCTCCTGTGCACACGGCATATACGGATCAGGTCACACCCGTCGGCCGTGGCCATGACACGACGGGGACCACAGATGCTGGCCTCTCTAGGCGCACGGTGTCGTGGTCAGCTAGGTACCCGCCCCTCTCCGTCACGCCCACTTCTATAGCGCCCGTCGAACGGTCCCCCCCCCTATCCCGTCTCCTCGTGGCCGTTCTACCTAGATCCTTCCCCCCCCCCGCAGCCTATCGCTGCGCCCACCTGCCATCATGCGTCCGTCTCCTGTCGCTCCGTTGATGTTGTCCTGTTATTCCGTACACCAAACCGAGCACTTATATCGCATTCGTCGCGCGCGCCGCGCGAGAAACACTCCGCGCACCCCTTGTACACCGCGGCTCGGCTCACACTGCGCGTGTTATCGGCCGACCACGGCGGGGCCGCCGCGGTTCTGTTTGTTCTTCTCCACCCTTCTCGTTATCGCCCCCCCCCCCCTCCCCCTCCCCCTTCCCTGGACCCCACTGGCTCGGTGTCGCGTCGTGTCACGTCGGCCCGCTAATCACGATTCAACGTCCCGTTAATGCTTGAAAAACAGAACTCTGGACACACCACCTCTTGAGGTGGACAGGCTTGAGGCATGAAACGAGAGACCAATATCATTTTAGGAATAAAGAATGAATGATAACGGTTGCAACAGGACCCATGAGAAGCTATTCTACAGGGTCCAGCGTCTTTTGAATATGGGGATCCTGATCGTCTTGGTTTCGTCGAGATAAATGTGCCAGTAAACATGTGACGGCCGCCGGGTCGCCAATAGCTGGTTATTAAATTCTTAATTGCTGGTTGTCAAGATCAAACGGCCATCGTGGTTAAGTTGTTTACATAGGCCTCGTGGGTAACGCAACCGATCTGTGCCACAACAGCCTCTAACTGCGGTGGAACAGAGGCAGTGGGTACCGAAACCGATCTGACACTATAGACCTTAATCGTCTCACAATCTTATACCAGTAATTGTACCGTTACGATAAAAAAAAAAAATTTCGTTCCCTTTAAACCAATTCATTTCCCCATATGGCCTTGTAGCTCTAAGGAATGTTTGCATTGACGGAGATGTTTTATTGTCTTTGCACATTTACCAATATCTGATGTGCCCTCCCTTTCCGGCTGTAAGTGAAAGCGTTGTATGCTCGCATTTCCGTTCAATGGCACGCAGCACAGGTATTTGCTGAGCAATTAACCTGCCGTCAGCGAGGCTCTAGGATGACATCAGGGCAAACATAGGGCGGAGACGAGCCATCAGGCTGTCAAAGACGATATAATAACCGCTTCCAGTGGCCCCTGTCTGTTAGTTCGGCACAGGAAATCCGTCGGAGATACCGCGCCAGTCTCCAACAGAAGTCAAATACCTACCAAAGGAACGGGCGTAACCAAACTGGACTAACAGTCACATACAGAGGCGAAGAGGTTTTTAGAAATTGTTGCTATTTATAGATATTCAGATGAAATAGAGATCGTTCAGAATGCGAGAGATTATCCATAATTAATTCGATATTATGTAGAGACGACGGCAGATTGATGACGTTGGAAAATGAGAACGCTGAGTCATACGACCCAAAACAGTTAGACTGATCACGCACGTGTTCCATTCGTTCACGATAACCTTCACAGATTGAGCTGAAAATGATTTATGGTCTGTAGCATCGATGTAGGCCGGATTATGACAGTCGGTAATCTTACAATCAGGATAACTTTCACTGTGGGGCTTGATCATATTCCCATATTACAGTTTTACTCTGCGCAACAAAGACAAATTTTAGGAGCTACTTTACAATAGTTTCATTTTAACAATTCGCGTTTTGAGCATCAAATTATTTGCATTTATTGAGTTGCACGCTGGCCCGGCCCTAGCCAGCGCGGTAGCGAGTCGGCCGCCGGATATGCCGTGCCGAGTTTGCCGTGCCGCGTCGGATCTGCCGTGCCGTGGCCGCCGTGGCGGCGGTCCGTGAGCCGTGCCCATCGGGCCCGCCGTCGGTCGTTCCCAGAAGTCGTGCCGCGCAGCCGCGCCGCCGGCCTCGGCGGTCGCCCCGCCGCCCTGATAGGGGCCCACTCCGGCACTCAGTCTGAATCACATCTGGCTTGATGGCTCTAATTAGCCGGCTCCAAGGTCTCCGCCCGGCAACCGGCAATGATTGGACCACCAAACAATTGCATTTATCACTGTAAGCAGGCACTCGACTGCAGATAAACTCATCGACCGTATCAGCTGATTATGATAAACGCCGCCATCTAATAAACGTCCACAATTAGAGTCCTTTATTCGGTGAAATTATTACGGGAAGTAGTTAGGCGGCGGTGCGATGGATGCGGCCGCGCCCGCTGACGCACCCTGTCCCTCTCCCCCCGCCCGCCCCGCAGGTTCGCCGTTCCTGCCGGCCATGGGTGGTCCAGTGATGCCGTCAGCCAACGATACGCTGATGACGCTCTGGAGCCTCTACAACCGCCAGCAGCAGCAGCAACAACAACAGCAGCAGCAGCAGCAGCACCGTGTTCACTCTCCTCCTCAGCACCGGAAGCCGGAGGTTGTACCACACCGGAAGCTGCAGAGTGCCAGCCCCGCGCCACAGAGCGAGGCGCTCAACTTGGGCGTCCGAGACACAGCTAGGTGCGGGCGAAAGCGTACCGGTATAACCTTAACTCTAATTTGACCAATAAACAAATTAAGGCTTGTGAACTGTAAAGCTATTTAGAACTAATAATGGATATCAGGTTACTATATTCGGGTCGAATTTACTTGTTTGGCATTAATAAAAAATGTCAAAATGCCTAGTTACTAGCAATTTATGTCTACTATGAACAAACATAAGATTATTACGTCAGTGAAAAATGATAACACACAAACACCACCGCCAGGGACGAGATGGACCGTCAGATGAGCCGTCACGGGGCCCGAGAGCACCCTCACGACAACCACCTGAACATGGACAAGGAGCACGACTGGGACAGGCACCTGCCCATCAAACGGGAGAGCCAAGAGACTGTGTCACCGCCTCCGCTGCACAAGAGGCCTCGGCTGCCGGAGCCCGAGCGGCAGACCGCCGCCTTCCCGCACACCAAGATGAGCATCTCCACTAAGGGTAAGTGTTGGCCGGAACTAGCATAATTGTTTTTGTTTTATTTTATACATTCTGAAGTTACCATTAGGAAATTGTAATTGGAAGGCTTAAGTTCAATTTAAAATAACGGAAAATACACTTTGAAAATTGTTTAATCAAATACTTACTTTTCACGGCTTCAGTCAATGCAAAGCCATGGATGGCATGGCAGCAGTTTAGAATAAGTGTCATCCATATATGTTGCAAAATTTTAATGCAAGTTGCATATAAATGCAAAAGGAAAGTTGGCTCATTTCAGCAGATCCTTTTTCATGGAACATTATTTTATCTATATTTTGTTTGTTTGTTTTGTTGGGTTAGGCCCTTTCGGTCGACAAGACCATTGCAGAGCCGGAAGGATGATAGGAATTAGGGGGAGACATTGGTCTGGGCAGGCACCCTAGTGAGTCGCCGGGGCTGAGCCCGTCCAGAGGACAGGCCACCCAGCCCCAAGGCACTCACTGCACCCGGCTACGGGGTGCGCTCCCTCGGGAGCAGCGGTGCCGCTCCAAGGGAGCAGCCCGCATGAGATAAAGTTGCCTGTCCAGCCCGGAGGGGGTTGTGGCGTGGAGGAGAAGGATTTCAGTATCCTGAGGATAGAAGCACGGATAGGTGTAATTTTATCTATATTATAAAACACTCTTGACAAAGCCCTTTTGGTCTATCGCAGGCGACAGCAGCATAGTTGTGAGCATGGAGCTGAACGGCGTCGGCTACCAGGGAGTGTTGTTCGCCCAGCCGCGGACTGCCAGCGTGTAGCGGCTCACATAGCAACAGCGCCATCTAGAGCTTACCGACACAAGTATTAGTGCGCCGGTCACCACCAGGTGTCGCTAGGCGCTAACAGTAGAGGAGAATGAAGATCTCATAAAAAGTGGTGGCCGCGGTGGCTGAGTGAACGTGACCACGCGTGGAGACATCTGTGGGTTGTTTTGCTTCGATCCAGAGAGAACCGTTGTTGAGGGCTTCGAGCGCCCGTTTTTCCCGTCAAAGCTATTCGGGCGTGTTTAATTTTAAGTGGGAATCCTTGTGGTTTTGTTGGTGTTTCAAATGAGTTGTCTTGTTATGCATTGGCTGAGTTTCATCTCTCGATACCACGACCGAAACAAGAGCATCCTTTTTCTCAGGGATTGAATAGCAGCCCTGACATGCGTGGTTTATGGAATAGGATAGAGGTTATGAATTTGTTCGAGATGAAAGATATGCATTGGATGGTTTCAATCGATCGGCTTTGAATTGGTTGACCTGTTGGGCAATGCGGCTGCTCGCATTGCTGTCAATTTCTGAAGCACCAGTTGCTTGCTTGTATGTTTCAGTCAAAATCAATCAAATTTGCTGTATTATTTCATGGTGTCCATGAATTATCTATTGTGATGAATGCTACTTAGTGTAATTCCTGATCTTCCAAATACCTACCTAATCCCCACTTCTTTTGACGTTATCACATACCACATACTTGAGTGCTAAAAATGCCCATTTCGAGTCTCTTTTCCTGTTTCCTCCCGTAGCTAATGACAATCATTAGTCACTACAAATATCCTGTCCGTTGTTTGAAAACGAACAATGTCCTGTTGTAAGCCCTAGAAATCAACGCTCCATGCGACATAGAACTGTTTATGTGGAGGTTTTTGTGATTGGTGTTCCCTGTAAAGCCCGGACACAATATACATGTGTTTCCATGAAATGTGTTGATACTTCATCAATGAATTTCGCTGTTCGTAAGCTTATGACCAGGGTTGTATACGACTCAATCAATAGCAATCAATTCAATCACGACAAATTTGGGAAACCAATCAAATCGATCAAGTCAGAGCAGTTTTCGGGAATTGATTCAATCGACTCAAACGCGACAATGAAAGGAATCAATCAACTCAATCAAACGACTCAAACCAAGACATACATTAGGTTTTTTGCCCCACCAACTTGGAAAAGTGTCCATAGCAGTCTGGTGTACCTACCAACCTACCTACCTACAGAAGAAACATAAAAATATTGTCATTTAAAAAATTACAAATTGCCATTACCATTCAAAGTTTCTATGTAATAAGGAAGGGTACCTAGCGATGGACAGGTGGATCATGATATTGAGGTTCAATGGGTAGAATTGGAGCAGAAGTTTCATTTAATGGGTGCAAAATAACCCAGTAGTTGACTCGCCCCTTAAACAAAATCACCACCTTTCACCTAAAAGTTGTCAATTTAATTTTGGCCATATTCCAACTCCATTTACACTAAATATCAGATATTGCAGTTGAAAGTTGGCTGCTCGGATTTTGGCAGTGTTCGTGACTTGGCCATTTACCCTACACCATGTCTATTTTAATGGATAATATGCATCAAAAACATATTAACCATAGGGAAATAGAAATAAATATATTACCTGCATGTGACGGTTTCGGTTAGACAGAGACTGACGGGCAGCCTGAAAAAAATCTTTCCACACAATGTGCATTTGAGACGTGGGATGGGGCTAAGCTTTTATAAATCCTTATTCTACGTCTTTTGATTTTCTGGTAAGAGGACGTCATTGATTATCATGTAGTATGGTAGATCATCATAAAATAAATCGGTTGTACAACACCAATTTCGTTTTAGTTACTATTTCATTTGAAATAAAACCAGTTAATAATATTCGGTAAAATATTTTAAGGCAAATGAAATATATTAAATATGTTATGCTTAGGCTCTCAGGAGAAAAGGATCAACAAACGTTCTGCTGCAAATTAAACAATGCAGCAAATTAGCTATTAATTAGTAACGTAAACGTAATTAGCGAGACAAAAACGGCGCTTTTGTTTCAGTTATTTTTGTAGGGGTTTCAGACATTTGTAGAGTTCAGTGGGTTGTTTCTGAGGAGATGTGGAGATGTGAATTATTAATTAATCACACTTTATTAGTATATAGGGCCTTGCACTCATCTGGATTAAAAAAAAAACGTTTCCTGCTGAGTGCAGAAAGGTAGGTAGGTGCATCGCCAGGTTCTATCACCAGGATTGGAGCAGTTATTGCAGTTGAAAGTCAAAGTTGGCTGTTCATGTTTAGGCCCTGTTCTTTATTTGGCCATCTACCCCATATTGCAGTTGTGATGACAAGCAGTTTTCAGTGTAGTTTTGTGATCTATGATGTCATCAATTATTGTCATTATTTTTTGTCAACTAAAACTTATTTGAACTTTCCATTCAATCGACTCAATCATACGAGTCACTCTAATTTTCGGGAATCAAATCAGTCAACCAGTCGCTAAAGTCAAACGAGTCAGTCAACCAGTCATCTCGAAAAGTCAATCGACTCAATCCAATCAACTCAAAATACGCGTTGAAACAAATCAATCAATTCAATCGACTTGATTGGTATACAACCCTGCTTATGACTTCGTGAAAGTATCATGTACTGATAGTATTCGACATTGTTGGACCGTGCAGAGGGTCATGCATGACAACATGGGGCAGTGGTAGCATGTAGGGCTTGGCACTAAATTTTGGCTCTCTACTGCACAGCTTTTTAGCAATCGCAAAACAGCCGTCAGGGTAGCCTTCTCCCTATGGCCGAGGAAGGTTGTGCTTCAATAGCACTGCGCAATCGATAAACATGAACCGATTAGGAAAAAGGCCTGGTTTTCCATGCGCTTCTCAAAGAAACTCACAGATGTCCGAATGGGGAGCAAAGAAATTCCCAACGAGAATTTGTCCTTTTCTTTCGGAACACCAAAGCAAATAAACCGATGTTCAAAAACTACTCAAAGCAGTGGCGGCGGATTCGATTTTGGCGTGGGGGGGCAAGATCCCAGTCGAGATGATGTCATAGGCGGATCCAGAAAGGCGTTTTCGACGCTGTAGGGGACATACTCCCCCCCCCCAAAAAAGTGTCCAAAATTCAAAAACTCCTCGGATTTCGATTCCTTACGGACCTACTGCTGAACAGTATAAAAAAAATCCTGATAAAAATGTTATTATTAGGAAACATAAGGTACGTTTTGTCTATTTCGGGCGATGTAGGGGCCAGGGGGAGGGGAGTAAATATTTGCTTTAAATGCCCGCTCCCTGGATCCGCCAGTGGACGATGTAACGCATTTCTTATTGCTGTATTAGAAAAAAGCTCCAATGGGAAAACATTGTGCCATAACCCGATCGCATATCAGATGTTGAAGAACGGTGCCAAACCTTTTGAAGTAGGCGAGCGCTACTCTTCAATGATTTAACTCGTTACCATTTCCTCTGTTCATTTTACGTTGGATTTTCGTTTAACTTTCTTTAAAAAGTATTTCTGAGACAGATATCAACTGAAACTAGCTCACAGCGGGAGGAGACCGCCCAAACATTCAGAGACAGTCGGTCGCATCTAAGCCTATTGGGACAGCGATCCGCCAGAAACCCTCCCCAAAGCAGTAGTTCGCCAACTAAGCTCACTGAGACGGGCTGTCTCGATGGGTTTCTACAGTAAGCCTACAGCAAGGCTTAACCCTCGCCGGCCGAAGGGGGGGGCGGGTGCCGCCCCCCCCATAGGGTTTTTTCGAGATAGCTCCGAACACGCTGGCGATAGAGAGCTGAAACTTGGCATACCTGACCTTTGATCCAAGCCGCATCTTTTGACACCAACCGCATTTTTGGGTCAGGTCAGGTCACTGACCTATGACGTCATAAGTGAACCTCTGCACGGTCTTCAGATGTCGCAACTTCGCAACGCCCTCACTGCCAGAGGAGATGTCACAGGGAAATGAAACTTGCAGGATCTAGTATCCATTATGAGTCTCAAAACTTGTATATCTCGGATTTTTCCTAAAGGTCATATGAGGTCAGGTCATTTTCGTGACCTCACCATTATAAGTCAATGGGGAAAAATTCAAACTGCTATTCTGGCGCCGGGAACGATCTCCAACTATCTCAAGCACACAGAATCGTGATTTGATGCACTCCTTGCAAGGTTAGATGCGTCACTTTTGCAATGTTGACCTTGCGTGACGTCATTTATGACGTCATCAAGGTCATATTAGTTTTTCGTCAATAACTCTTGATCAAATTGAGCTAGCGAGTCGAGAAGGCCACCAATGGACTCAGGAAGACCTGCCGAATCGAATGATATGCGACATGACCCCTTTCGACCAACTTCGTGACCTGGGGGTGCTGACCTGACCTTGACCTGAGGTCAACACCCCAAGTTGACCTGACCCGGACAAAAAGTATATCATTCGACGCGCCTGAGCGAGGCGAACACGATGCTGCCAAAATCGCGGCTCTGCGGCCGTTTTTTGCGAAGTTATTCACCAAAAACTGAACCGTACCCTGGGGCACTTGACCTGACCTCAGAGGTCACCGGTTGACCTAGGATCTTAAAATCGGGTACCAATCTCTGCGTCTCGTAACGGCGCACACGCTCGTTTTTTCCGCGACGCGCTAGCTCCACCAGGGGCGAAACGGCGAGGGGGGGGTCGTACCCGCCCCCCCCCCCCCCCCCTCGGCCGGCGCGTATGTAGAAAACCAATAGGTCCGGCGAGGGTTAACTAAGGCCCAAACGCTCGTCAATGAGCTGGGAACAGAAGGCTGAGGTGAGGGAGCGCGGCGGCGGGCTGGGGTGAAGGAACGGTGGACTGGAACGAGAATCCAGAAGCTCTGGGTGGGGCGTTTCTTTATTAGGGCTTTAGGTTGCGCTGACTGCGGTAAGGTCCAAATTATCACACCAAATTTTGCGATGACATCTACCGGTTCAGGCACTCGAGAATCAGCGGCCAGTGATATCTGCAAAGATGAAGCATTTCCAACCCAGCTTCAGCCTGGTGTCAGGGCGCCTCAGGTGGCTTTAATTACAGTTGCACATATCAAACGACCTCAGTGCAGCAAGTCTGTGGCCGAAACCATTCGGAACAGACTTCAAGGAAAAGTGAGACAAGGTTAGTGCTATCGTTAAGTGCCATTATAGACTTGGGCCCCGTTGGCTTGACCCACTGGAAGGTGGTAGTTAGGTATCGGACGCTGCGGGGCATACTCATTTTTTTCCAAAATGCCTTAGATTTTGCTTTCGTGTTCATGGGCGGCGGAACGGGGAGGGCACCGGGGCACCGTGCACCCTCCTTTTGATTTTGGCATTTTAACGTTAGCCCTCTGGGCGTTGCATGGAAAGAATGGGACCAAAGGTCGGCAGTGCCCCCCCCCCCCCTTAATTGAAGGTGTTCCGCCGCTACTGTTCGTGTTTGATGCTCTTTATTCTATAGCCAGCCTTACGACAGAGGGGGGCCACTAATGATTAGTGCCCTAACCCTCAAAAGTTTCCAACATTAATTTTTACTTTTTTAATGGTGAAAACTGAAATAAAGCGGATATTGAACTGTGAACATCCAGTTTTTACACTGGCCCCACACAAGCCTCCGAATGCCCAAAGCAGATCTCTGATGACTGGCCTTTGGGTGTCATACCATACCGTGCATTGGTCAATGTGGTCAATGTGTACGGCCTCGGCGTTTACCATTTTATGCGCTGGAAACTGTTGCGCTCGAAAAAATCAGGGGAGTGGCTTATTATGAGCGCTCATCAGTCCTTACTACCCGCAAGCGAATGGCTAGCCCTGCCATCTCCGCTCGCTTGCGATTTGGCATTTATGTAGGTACAAAATAGCGGCAAACGACCACTGAAGGTATGAGTTGCGTCTCTCGCACACTTAAAATATATATAAATCGAATCTGAAAAGA